TTATCTTTTTAATATTTTTGAATTAATTTTTTTTATTGATTAATAATATTTATCAGATATAATTAGTATAAAAATATATTTGTAATAATATTATCTTTATTAAGTTTATATTTTACTTTAAACTTACTTACTTATAATATTTTTAATTAGAAGACTTATCTTTTAGAAAGATTATATTATGTTTTAATATATTTTAAAAAGTATAATTTGTAATTATTATAAATTTTTACTTTTCAAAATATAACTTTCAGAGTCTAATAGAATATATAATAACTAATATTCTTTTTTATATATCAGATAATTTTATTTTATTAATAAAAATTTATTTAACTTGAATATTATTGACTAATTATTCTTATTTTGATTTAGCTTAATATAATTTTTATAATAAAATTAGAAATATTTGCAATAATAGTAAATAGTAATTTAAAATTAGATAATAAGATTAATATTAATATAAGATATTATTTGAGTAATATAAATACTTATTATACTTGAATAAATTATTTATATTTTTTATCTTTATAAAGAAGTATTGTAAAAGATAATACTATAATAAAAAATTCTTTTATAAATTTTTTATAATATACAATTAGTCTTAATAAGTTAGTCTCTTAATAAATTAGTTTTGACTTAAGTTAATTAAAATTTTTGATTATTTCTTTCACTATTTAAAAATTCTTAATAAGTTGGTCAATTTATATAAATTCTTAATAAGTTATTAAGTTAGCTAATAACTCTAGCTATCTTAGTTAGATATATCTTAATAAGTTAGTTTTATATAATAATTTATAAAATATAATATAGTTTTCTTTAATTTAATTAGTGAATTATACTCTGAATAATATTAATTATCTAATAGAATTACTTATATATTAGTTATACAAATATGCTATAATAATAAAATTATAATAAATATATCATATTATTAGAATTATAACTAAATAGTATTAGATTATATAATTAAAGTTATATAATTAAAGTCATATAATTAAAATACTAAATATATTATTAGAATTATATAATCAAAATATTAATATATCATTAGAATTATATGATTAAAGTACTAAATATTAGAATTATATAATCAAAATATTAAGATATAGATATTATAAATTTATATATTAAGAATTATTTATAAATAAAGATAATTGATAATCTTTTTCATTATTAATATTATTAATAAAAATTTATAATATAAATATAATAGAATTAGAAAATATCAATGCTATCAGATCTTTTAGTAATTATATAGATAAAGATAGAAGTAAAAAAGAAAAAAAATTAATAACTCTTATAACTCTTAAGAAAAAAGAATTATATAAATATAAAAATATCAATCTGAATATTAGCAATAAAGAGATTGTACTATTATTTCAAATAGATAAATTAATAGTAGAAAATATTTAAAAAAAAGTTAAATAAATTTTAATTGAAAAATATTTAAACAAAAGATATAATTATGAACTAGAATAATCTAAAATAGAGAAAGTATTAATAATTTGAATAGATATTACTAACAGAATAAATTATATAATAACAAATATAATATTAGCTTAGAAGACTATTAAATTTGTATAAAAACTTAATATTTCTAATTTTAATATATTAATAACAAGTTTTTTATTACTTACTATTTTTAAAAATTAAGTATTATATATTAATTATCAATTATTAAATAGAATTAGATATTTAATTTTAAAAAAAGAAATAATATTAAGTAATATTATATAATAGAAGAGATAAATAATATATCAATTAAAGATTTATTAATATATAGGCAGAAATTATAATCTTTAATTTTGTAATATAATTTGAAGATATCTATAATACAGATAAGATAGTATTTTATTGAAAATTGGAATCCAGTAAATCTCTTGCTTATGAATTTGTATCTAAAATTAAAAAATCTAAGAATTATATAATAATAATACTCATATATAATCTAACTGATATATATAAATTATTTATTATTCTTATTTACAAATACAAAAACTTTTATTGTATTTATCATATTAATAAAAAGATTTTTCTGTATTATATTATTAGAATAATTCAATATGGATATAATAATTTATATTCAGAAATTAGATAAGATAGCTTAATTAAGAAATATACAAAAAAAGAAAATATATATTATTATTATTAGATTATATTTCAACTTATCAATTAAAAGATAATAAATAATTAAGTAATATTAAATTATATTTTCTTCTATCAAATATAACTGCTCACTTATAGTTACTTAATTAGAGAATAATTTATTTATTTAAGATATTTTTTTATTTACTTCTATTATATATTATATAAGTTAAATTTTCAGAATTAATTTAATCTTTTTTAGACTTACTATAAAAAACTACTCTGTAAAAACAAATTGATAGAATTGATGAATATTAAACTTATCATTATAAAATTTTTGTACTGAATATATTTCATATAATTAATTGGATTACAGAAGTATAAAATAATATAATTAATAATATAATTTATTGATATTAATAAAGAATTTATATTATTTTTAAAGAATATTAAACAGAAGATATACTGATTAAAATTAAAAAAATAATGAAATAGTTATATAATTACTTCTTAATCAGATAGACATAACAAATATAATAGCAAATAATTATATTAATATTAATTCAAGTTTAAAAGTAATATAATTAATTAATAATAATAAAATTATTATTATAATTTAGAATATAATTAAAAATAAAAAAGAAGTGAAAGAAAATAAATATCCATTTATTTTATATAAGATAGCTTTAGAAAGTATCCAAAATTTACTGAACTATTTATAATAAGTAAATAATATGAGTATAAGTAGTTTTGTATTATTAAAAATAAAAGATTTATAATATTAGATTAAAAATAAGTTAATTTTCTAAGATAAGCTAGTTTGTAAGATTATTTTATAATGTAATTATATAAATATATTAATAATAAATAATTTAATTAAATATATAGTTATCTCAAAAAGTAATATATGATTTTTAATTATCATAAAACTTAAAATATAATTTCAATTTATAAAAAAATTATTTTATTTTTAATTAATATTTTGCTAGCTCTTCTTTTATCTTTAATATTATGTTAATTCTTCTTGATATTAAGTTAATAATCTCTCTAAGAATATTGAGATTAAATTTTGACTACTTCTTTAAGATAGCTTTGAACTTATTTATAATTTTTAAAAAGTTTTTGCATTTTTGAGTATTATTCTTAAATAGCTTTCAAATACTTTTTATAAAATTAAGATTAGAAAAATTTGCTAGCTAATCTATGATCTTGATTTTCTTTTTCTCAAACTATTTTTTAATTTTGATTATAATATAGATCAGATATTATTATTATAGTAATATAAAATTTCTTAATTCTATAATCTTTTTTTGATTATACAAAATTTTATTTTTATATAATTTCATAATTTATTATATAATTATTCCTATTTTTATATCATATATTTATTTTTGTTACTATATTTATTTTTATCGCATTTTATTTTTAAATATTATATCTTATTTCTTTTATTTAAGATCTATATTTTTGAGTTATATATAATATATTCTTTATATATATAATAGAATAGTATATTTGAAAATTATTTTTAATTTTTGATAAAATGATAATATTTGGAATAATAATTATAAATATTAATATTTTGAAGATCAAAAATATTTATGAAAATATTCATGAAAACTTCTATAAAAAATATTCATAAAAATATCTATACAAATATTTATATAAATATAATGTTAAAATATTTAATATTATAATAGTAAATTATAGTTCTTTATAATAATATGTATATTTAGATAATATTAACTAATAATACTATAGTAATTTTTGTATTCAAAAAATGTATAAAAGAACCTGCTATTCTAGTTTGAAATAAATAGTTTTGAATTAAATTATTTGAAAATATAATTAAAAAGCTTTTTATTATAATAATAGTAATCCTTTTAAAAGATTTCTTTTCTAATTATACTAATATTCTTTCTCTTACTTGATTTTATTTCTTTGATTATATAAAGTTAATTTTGATTTGGATTATAATATTATATTAATTTTTGATTTTTAATATTATTTTGAGAATAAAAAATCTCTATTATAAATAAGCCATATTATTTTGTTTTATTTATTTTATTATTTTTAAGAGTAAAAAATCTTTACTATAAATAAGTTATATTCTTTTTAATTAGTTATTTTATTATTAATTTAGTTTTTATCTTTTTTTTTAGTCATAACTTTCTTTAATTAATATCAATGTACCTTTTTTCAGATCAACATTCAAAGTCCTTGCCGAAAGCAAAAACACCTTTTCCTTATAACTTGAGTGTATGACTTTCAATTTAAAACACACTTGACTAAAATACAACGACATGAACACGTAAATTCCTTAACGTTAATAGATTTACTATTGTTACCTAAAATTTGTTGGTCTCGTCGTAATTCCTTAATTTTTTACCAGCATGACCAGCCAAACGATTCACAACATTGTTTGACTTTCCGCTTATAAATAAACAAGTCAAGTTAATCATTCATTTTAAGATTGTTCATAAAAACAAGGATTGTGCTAATTTAGGCCTATCTCTAATCTTGCCATACAAGCCTTATTGTTATTCGTATTGGTTCTCGTTTTAGCTCTTTTAATTAGCAATTATTATGATTAGACATCATAAAATCTAACAATGTATCTTTAGATAGTAATTAGTAATTAATCGACAACTTGCTCTCTTAAAAAAATAAAGAATTTCAAAGTTGAATTATCTTTATTTCTTTGATTATACCTAATACACCAAATCTTGCAAAATAATTGGTTTAACTTAGTTTACGTTTTATGGATTGTTGAATAATTATCCTGTAATTTTTAACATTTTGATCATGATGAACTCCGAAAATGATTATTTATATACATGTACATGTAATGAAAAATCAACTTTTTATAGAATCATATAATTTATTATCTTCGGTGATTTTGCAAATTACTCTCAAAAATGAGTAAAGCGCTCTGTCTAGGTATAGATTTAGAAATATAGTACCCGCGAAAAATTAAAACTTTAATCTCAAGACTAATAAATTAGTAAATCAGAGATTTTACTAAAAAAGGCGGATTAAAGTAAGATTTAATTTTTTTCAGAAGGATTCTTATACAGAGCGCTTTACGATGTTTTATCATATACATGCATTTTTCTAAAAATTGCTTTGAAAGCACTTCGTAAATGAGATGTTCATATTTTCTTAATTCGCAGGCTCATATTACTTTTGTAAATGCATTTGAGACAACAAATTTTTATTCTTATCAATGTAGTATTCAAATCACAAAATTCCATGTCCTACTACGCTTATAAAAATAATTAATATTGTTGAGGAAAATTAATAGTTTTAACAAATACCAGACATAATTTTTTTTTACTATGTGTTAGTTAGTTATATATGCAATTTAATTTTGCCAACAAATTCACAGATAAATTTATGTTTTGAGAAATTTAATTATATATTTAATTTGTAGAATTGATTACGGCTAAATATTGATAAATTACTTAACGTAAAATAATTTCACACTCGCTACTACATGTATATAAAATGATCGTTCCGTATGCTCAATAACTCAGAAAGGATTATAACGATAATAAAAATTTCCTCAAACCTAATAGTCAAAAAAAGATGGCACGACTTTTATTTACTTTGTTTTTATTCGTCCAATTATTCTTTATTGTAGAGCTCGTTAATCTTAATCCAAATGAAAATCAAGTTGATATTGATCATTTTCAAGATACAAGCGTATTTAAAGTAAATACCAAGTTTCCTCAAGAACTCTATGAAAATAAAATACAAGCCAACACGACATCCGAAAAATCACTCGAATCTTCTGATTTTGAGAAACGCAAGCGATAACGTAGTCAAACATCAATATGAAAGAAGCCAATGCTTTCCACGTTATTTAGAAAGATGAAGGCGAAGATGTAGATACGGACGATGCTTTCGACGTTGTGGAGTAAGATGTAGAAGAATATGTAGATACAGAGTTTATAGAAATTATAATCGTTATTAACATAAATGATAACAATTATTATGTTTCAAATAAAAATAAAAATATAATTAGAGTCTTGATTGTATTCATGGCCGTCCAAATAACTTTACTACAAGTGCATATTAAAAGCCTCGTTCCAATTGTTTCTTAGCGCTAGAATATGTATGCAAACTTTTAGAAAGACAACTCGACAAAATAAAACAGAATATTGATATCATATCATTAAGGAATGAGCAAGTATGAAATTTTCAAAACTGCGAATCATCAATATCAATATTGAAAAATTACCAATACGACTATAATGATAGTTTGTAAATATAGCATAAGTTTAAAATTACTATTGCCATAGTGATTCAAATAAGTCATCATGTGATATTTGACTAATCATAAAATCATGATGTTTTGGTAAGTGGATTTCATAGTGCGTTGGGAGAGACCAAAACTAATACCAGCTAAATTTAAGGGTTATTAGACTTTAAAGATATTATCAACAAAGACTCTAAGGCCTGCGCCATTATCTACGGATGTTGTCGGTGTAAAGATAATATACTAACAAAATTGCTTTAAAATTAAGAGAAAGACAATCATTTCGCGAAATCAACTAATAAAATAATTATTCCAACGAATACTAATAAATAACAAAAGATAATTACAAAAGAATAACGCAATATTCAAAGGTAAAGTTCAATATGACAAATCCGAAGTCACCATTTTGTAGTACATATCTACATTTATCTAACTATACACATATATATATATATATGTGTACATATTTTATAAAATTCCCTTTGATCCATTTTGTTTCAAATTCCGTTTTATACCGATCAGAATTTCCGGAGTATAAATCGGGTTAATCACGTGACAAATTTTATCTGGAATTGTGAAACAATGACGATGAAATGACTGTAGTTTGTGACTAGGGTTGGGAGAGAGTAATTTAGCTTGTTTGATCTATATACCAAGACTATACTGATAACATAAACCGAGGTTATTTTGACTAGTTGCATTGCCAGCATTAGCTGACTTCGAATGCCATTCGAAAGCTTTTTTGTCGTCTTTTTCCACGCCAATACCATTTCATAGCAAAAACCAGGTCTAATTTGTCCAAAGTTATTTTTATCCTCTACAGATTTCAAATGATATTTGAAAGCTTTTTCGTCATTTTGTTGCACACCTATGCCATTTTGATAACATACACAAGAAAATATTCTCCAGTTGCATTCCCAGCATTTGCTGATTTTAAATACCATTTTGTAATCTTTTTCCACAACAATGCCATTTTGATAACATATGTCGAGTTTATTTTGTCAATCACAATCTTCGCAGATTTGTTATCTTTTTGTACGCTGACGCCAGTTTGATAGCATATACCAAGTCTATTTTGTCCGAAGTTGTCGCCACCTACTGCTTATTTGAAGTATCATTCAAGAGCTTTTTTATTGTCTTTTTGCACACCGATACCAATTTCATAACATAAACAAGGTTATATTGTTTATATTGTCCAATAATATTTCCCGCATTTGCTGACTTTAAATACCATTCAAAAGCTTGTTTGTAATTCTTTCCACGTCAACGCCAGTTTGATAACATATACCAAGTTTATTTTGTCCGAAATCATCTCCACTCTCTGCTGATTTCAAATACCAGTAGAAAGCATTTTTGTCGTCTTTTGGGGACAACATGCCATTACGATAACAGAAACCAAGATTATATTGTCCAGTTGCATATCCAACAGTTGCCGATTTCAAATACTATTCAACCGCTTTTTTTTCATCTTTTTGCATGCCAATACCAGTATGATAACAGAAACCAAGATTATTTTGCCCCAAGCTATTTCCGCCCTCAGCAGATTTCAGTTACCATTCGAAAGCCATTTTGTCGTCTTGTTGTACGCCAATGCCATGTCGATAACATACACCAAGAAAATATTGCCTTAATTATTTTCACCCATTCCTGACTTTAAATAATACGCTACTCCAATTTCATTATGATAGGTGCATCCAAGAAAATACTGTGATAAACCATCATTTTCATCTTCCTCAAAGATTTCTAAAGACAATGCATTATTTTGTTTGACTATACATCCTGCTTGGTAAATAAAGGCCAAAAAGAATTTATGTCAAGAGAATTTTCTATGCAATTTTTAAAATCAAGTGTTTTGATTATTTTCAATATAATATTTCTCTAATTTAGGACCTATTTTACTGAGTTTATCAGTAATGAGCAACTTGTGAAAAAGCATTTTTATTTCATTAATTGGTGATTTCATATAGTCCTCGTTATGGAACATATATTTTGAATCATTATAATTATTTTGAACTGAGTCGTCATCGATTACATCCAAAGATCTTCCTCCTGAAGGTAAGTCAGCTATGGCGACACTAGACAGCCATTCGATTTCTTTTAGTCGTTAACTTCATGAATATCTGGACGATTGTTTAGTTCATTATCCCAACATGCTTGATATAGTTCTACATATTTATCCGTAGTTTCATCTGTTGAAGAATATCGATAATGTCCGATGCGAGGGTGAAAATAACCCCAAATAATATACCAAGTATAAAGATATCTGAACTTTCATTTCGGCTTAAAAACGCTGGATCATAGTAGCATTATGATTCTAATTTAGTTTGAAATTGAAAATAGCTTAACATTAAGTTTTAATTTTGATTTTTCCCCTATGAACAAGGATTTTAATATGATTCTATAATAAAAATTATCAGATTTGAGTTAAAATAATAAATAATTGTACAGTTTTTTTAAATGTGCTTACTAAATTTCGGTCAATAATGCCTTTTTCATGAATATATTTTAATCCATTTACAAGTTGTTTCGCTAAAGACAATTTGTCATTCAACTCATGTGTGCAAAATTAGATTCCAAATAATCCTTAAAAGTTCCACTGTCAGCATACTCCAATACAAGCATATATTATCGAGAATCTAGGTCTAATGAATTAATTTTTAGATTGTTTCATTAATCATGAATTAAAAATTTATTTGTTATTTTATAAAAATTAATTATATTTTGATGGTTAATAATTTTTAACTAAAGGAGATAATATATAAGGCTCATAATTTTTTATATAACACTAAATTTTTTGTTTCGAATAATGTACCTCATTAAATTGCTGATAATTTTCTTTGGCATTTTCATCATTGATATAAAAGTTACTGTCAAGTCATTATCTTTCAAGTCAGCTTTGAAAATTCCAATTCCAATCTCTTGTTTATATAAATTTAATAAAGGTAAAATATTCTATTTGATTTTCTGAAGCAAAGCTTGCTAGCCTAGTTGATGTTGACATTATTAGTACGCTAAATTTTCTTGGTATTAGCGCACAAAATGAATTGCACGTATCGGTACATGTATTTAGCATCAAATATACATGTAATTTTCTAAACGTGGTTACTGTAGTACATGTGCTCACTTCTTACTACATGTACATGTATGCCCGAAACACGAAATTCCGAATGAACGGCACCCCGAACAAACGAAATCTGAAATTGTGATAATTTTGCGGTGTTCGCCGATTGATTAGCGATCTTTAAAATATGAAAATTTTCGAACATATTAAATAACTAAGAAAATTAAAATGCTAGAACAGTTTTGATTATAAATTTACTATACAATTTTAAACCAAGCGTCACGTTTCGTGGGCACTGTGCGTTTTAGTAGTGATTTTGATTAAATACGTACGACTGGTAATTTGATTATTTTTTTACATCTTTGAAGAACTTTTCTTTCAGTGTGTGCTTATGTTTGTAAGTAGAATTTTTAAAGATGAAAATATTGGTTTAATGATCTTTTATTCTTTTGTATTGTTATCTTTCATAATTTTTACAAAAACAGTTCAAAAACACACTTGTAGATATATTTTGCAGGTAATTTTTTATTAACTCTAGTTAGAACTTTTACGCTTATAGTTATTAAGTAGAATTTTTATTTTGGAAAAATCTTACTAATGTTCGATATTTGTACGTCATTCTTGGAGCTTAAAAATTTGCAATGGGTGATAGCAGCATCCTTGTCTATATGCTAAACATTTAATCTTATGGTATAAAGCGCAGAATTTAAGACTGTAACAATAGTTATTAATGAATAATTTATTTATGTAGTAACGGTAACTAATTTAGACTCAAGATTAACGTTAAGATAATGTTAATAGAATAACGGATGTTTGTACAATGTTTTTAATTTGCAAGTTTGTCTTTTATTATCAATCTTTCAAAAACTCAACCAAAATTCTAAAGTTTGTAAACTCTCTATGCGCATGTACATGTACTATAATAACCAATCTTTTTATTGTGTACAATCCTAACAACAAATATATACGTGATATAAATGAAGTGACAATTATTTCTATAATATATGTATTTATAGAATGTCATGAAAATAAAGAAAGTTGTGTTTCTGATTCCGAAAACTTAAAATTAATAAATACATTAAAGCACATGTATAATACCGATATTGAACAAATCTCAAAATACTCTTCAAGATGTAGCTATATTACTAAATGAATGCGTTTTCAAATACATGTACATCCTTTTACGATTAGATAAAGATGTTTCTAATGAAATAAATACATGTACATGTATATTAAATAAAATTTATCGAATCAAAATTTAAACTCGAATAACTAATCTACCTATGCCACATGTACATACATGAATCAATTCAAGTGGAATTACTTTATTTTGATGCATAAAAATTTTAAATTTACTTTATGGTAGTTAATTTAGAATCTAAGACCGTGGTGCTGTATAACGAAAACAAATAACAATTACCCAATAGCAGAAAGATAAAATTTAATTCATTTATCGTTATGGAATTAAAGGATGCGTACATAGTTTCATGTTCTATAAGAGGTAAGTTAATTTAATTATTTCCAAATTTAGTCATGAAATATCGTTATTATTTACTTGTATTGGATTAAAAAATCCACCACTCAAATTTTTGTTTGCATTTTGTATTTTGTGTACGACATTAAGATTAAATCACAAAGAAACACAAAAATACATGTGCATGTGCATGTACATGCACGTAATATAGATATGTACGCATAAGATAGATTCTGTGGATGAATAAAATTTTTGGAATATAAAAAGGCGAGAATAAATTTTCACTTCCTTAACGTTAAATTTAATAATTCTTTCGAATTCTAGTGTCAAAATTCACTTTTAAATATAAATTTTTCACGTTTATTTAATTTCTTTAAACAATAAATCCCTTAATATGAGTCATCAGCAACAGCAATTTGCACCTCCGCCAGGACCACCACCACAGCAAGGAGACACAGTTCCTCAACAACCACTACCATCACAGCAACAGAAAACAACACAACCAAATCCACAAGTAGAAGCCGAAAAAATCAAACTATGGACTTCAATCGTGAATTTCTGCAGGTAAACATCATCTTACTAATTATTAACTGTTGACTAAACATGTATTAACTCGAAAAATTATTTATAGAAAAGCAATTGGTTGCGTTGAGAAAACTGAGACTCTACGAGAAAAACGAGAAGAGCTTGAACAAAAAAAACGAGAAGCAGAAGCTCAAGCAATGAATCACTATGCCTCTAATGAAATGACTAGTACATAATGCATGTATTTAAAATACTTTAATGTTTTGTTTCTACCAAACATGTAATTCTTTTTTTCTAATACGTGTAGAATTATTATATTATTAATTGTATGATGCTAGAATTAGAGTGGCTATATATTTATATTCTTATTAGTATTTATATGTAATTTATTTTTATATATAACATCAACTTATAAATTAAAATACTGTATATTAATATTGTTATCGTTATTATTACACACGCATGTACATGCTGAAACTCAACATCACGGGAAGTTGGCTTCAAAACATATATACAGTATGTAAAAAGTATGCAGGTAAATCAATCTTAAAAGTCTAATTCCACTTTCTCTCCTGTTAAAACGCGAAAAAACAGAGTCAAAATGTTGAACTTTCTTTATCACTATGCACGTGAGAAAGATCTTTTAACAAGAAATTTGAAAGCGATAGGAATCTTTGAAGGTTGCTGAGCATTATTTTTCTATATCGATTTCGATACATGGGAAAAAATTTAAAAACTCTCGGTCGGGGAATTGAACCCCGGTCTCCCGCGTGACAGGCGGGGATACTAACCACTATACTAACCGAGATTTCTATGAAACATTTTTACTTTTTAACCTATATTTTAGAACAGATCTACATACACATGTTATTTTACAATGATTAGCGTCATCATAACGTAAAATTTGTGTTCCAACCGGTATAAAAAAAATATCCCAGATTATCTACGTGCTCTCCTAAAAATCAACGTTAGAAATGTCTTCGATTTCGAAACTCTCTCGTAATGGAATTGGAATGTATAGAATGCACTTTAGATCTTCAGAAAATGAACGAGCACTCTATAAGGCACTTCAGAAAACACCAGAAAAACCCACCATTAATGTGATTGATACTTCCACGAATTATGGAGATGGTGGAAGTGAACGTTTAATTGGACAAGTGAGTAAAAATACTATTTCTCATTAATGATTATTACTAATGATTGTCATCTCAAGTAAAATAGGTATTAGAAAATCCACAAAAGGACACATTGACCCGCTCAGAAATTTACATAATGTCAAAGTTTGGTTACATTCAAGCGACTAATATGAAATTATATTACCAAGGGGAATTCAAAAATATCCCCGATGAACAAATTGTGAAATATCATCCAAATTGTTTTCACTGCATTCATCCGGAATTTATGAGGTATAATATATAAAATAAATCAATCATTTAAATTGTTGACTGACGCTAATAAATAATAAATTAAAATCGTCGTACTTTATCAAGAGATCAACTTGATCGTAGCTTGAAACGAATAAAGACGAGTTATTTGGACCTTTTTTTCATTCATAACCCCGAATATTATCTACTTGATAAAGTAAAAGATAGTGCTAGTCGAAATGAAATTGAAGGTAAGTGACAAAATATTCCTTTTCTATAGAAAAAATCTCAAAAATAAATTTGATTTTGTTTTCAGTTGCACAAAATGAATTGCTTTATCGAATTAGCGAGACATTTGAAGCACTGGAAAGGGAAATCACTAAAGGAAGAATTCGTGCCTATGGAATAAGTTCAAATAGCTTTTCAGTTAAACGAGAAGATAAGCATTTCCTTCCGTACGAGAATTTAATTGTAAGTGCAAAAAAAGCAGCACAAAAGATCCGTGGTGTTAACGATCATGGATTTGTGGGCGTTCAACTTCCTGCTAATCTACTGGAACAAGAAGGATTAAAAACTACGGCTAAATGGGCGAAAGAAAATGGATTAAAAGTAAAATTTTATTTGATATAATAAAATAGAATTTATCGCATTTGTTTTCTAATTACATTCTTATTTTAATTAGGTTTTTATAAATAGACCATTAAATGCATTTATTGAAGAAACCGGATATCGATTAGCAAGTTATCCAGAACCAAAATACGAAGAAAATAAGCAGCAAGTTATTTCTTTTCTCGAAACAAAATTCAGAGTTATCGATAACGATAGCGATAGTCTACCACGTTACGCATTCAATCTAATTAACCAATTAGACAGCGAATTACCGAAAATACAATCAATATTCATCTGGGAGCAATACACTTCTACTATCAATGCAGCAGCTGAGAATCTTAAAATATCGCCGGAAATTTATTCGGCTTTTATGAATTACTTGAATGCCCTTGATGCAGAAGTAAGATTTAGAGATTCGCAACGAGTGAGAAAATACTTGATAAAAGAATGTGGGTTTAAAGAATTGGAAAATGATGATAAAAAGAAAGTTGAAGAATTAGCTTTGGAATTTCTGTTTTCTAGTGGCGTCGTTGATACCGTATTGATGGGATCGACCAAACAAATTTATGTTGATTTCGTTAGAGATTTTTTGTCAAAGCATTAATATTATGGATACTTATAGAATTTTAAATACCCAAAGTTAAATAAGCAAAATATTAAAATAAAACTAAAAATTTTAAATTCCTGAAAAGTTTGGCTTTCAAACAAAATTTTTTGATTTGTACATGTATTTTATTCAATCACTGGGTAACGAGATACATGTACACTCCCCGGTTAAAAGTCTCCGACCACCTGATTTAAGATTACAGATCATTAATAAGATTACGCCAAAACTATAAAGCATAAATAAAAAATACGCATACTGATCATAATTATTTTAATAGGAAAAGTGTTTTTTTATCAATATTTTTTCATATGTGAAAAAATATTTAATTCGTATCGTTTTCGCATCATTTAAGATTTTAATTAGGCGTTTATCGTTTAAAATTTTTTTTCTTTTACAATGGCCAAAAGGCGTGAGCTTACTGAGTTTGAACGAGGAGAAATTATAGGTCTCTGGAAAGGAGATCATAGTGAATGAAATATTGGAGAAATTCTTGGATATTCTAAAACCACTATTCATGACACTATAACAAAATATAAAAATTCAGGAAATGTTACAGATGCTCCACATTCAGGAAGGCCATCAAAACTCACAGAAAGAGAAATTAGAAGTCTTGTAAAATTAGTTAAGGAAGATCAGCAACAATCACTAGAGGAAATGACAAAAAAATTTAGTGAATCTTTATCAATTTCAGTATCTTCTAGTACTATAAAGCATACAGTGGCAATCAAAAGTAATGCAACACAAAATTAAAAATTATTAAATCACGATATCTTTGCACAGACTTAAGAATATCAAATTATAGTTGATAGATTTAATTATGTATATGCAAATAACTTAAATATGATAAATTCAATGTGGATAATTAAACTAATTATGTCACAATCGCAATATTTATTCAATTTTTAGTGTTGTATTACATTTGCTCATTTTTAATATAAATTTATATAACTCTCAATATAAAATAAAAACATCATATTTTTTTATTTTTTAACTATATCTGATATACTATCATCTAGTATAATCACCATGTGCTTTTATTACATCACAAATCCTTTCTGATATAGAATGAATTAAATTTGTACAATAATCCACATCAATTTCCTCTCAAACCAGCTGTATTTTTTTCCATAAGTCTTTCATACCCAAAATTGATCCAGGAAGACATCAAAGACAACAATCTACTTCATTTCATAAATATTCAATTAGATTTAGATTGGATGATTATGCCGGCCAATCTAAAATAGTAATATTATTATTATCAAACCACTCTTTTATCAAATTGACTATATGTTTGGGATCATTATCCTGTTGAAAAATAATCTCGTTAATAGCTAATTCATGTTCTTCAATAGTATTCATAAGATCTTCTTCAAGAATTTGTTGATATAATATGCTATTCATGTTCCTATTGATCTTACAAAAGTTACTGATATCATGAAAGATAAAACAATCTCATACCATTACTTTTTCATCACCAAATTTTATCATAGGTTTAATATGATGACTTTTTAATAACTTACCTGTTCTTTTCCAATAATATTATTTTTTATCAGATCCAAAAATCTGAAATTTAGATTTGTCAGACCAGATTATCTTTGACCAATCTTTATAGATCCAGTTTTTATATTTTTTAGTGAACTCAAGATAATGTTGTTAATGTTCAGACTTTAGATATGGTTTTTTTTGTTTTATTCTCACTACTAAACTATTTTTTTTTAGTATACGATAAATAGTATACTCTGAAATTTCAATATTTTCAGTTTTATAAAGATGATTTTGGATGGTAACAGCAGTAAAGCAGTTATAGAATGTAATAAGATGCATTGTTATTCTTTCTAACCGGTCATTTAATAATTATGGATGACCAGACTTACTTAAATTATTTAAAATGCATTATTCATGTCATTTTTTATTAATACGTGAGATGATAGAAGGACTAATTTTACAAGTTCTTGCTATTTTTCTTGTAGTATATCTATTTTGAAGTGAAATAATTATTTCAACTCTTTCTTCAAGAGTTGTATGACATTTTGATATTTATTTTTTATTATTAAAAAGCTGTAATATAATTTAAGAAAAAAAAAGATAAATAAAATAATTATTTATTTTGTGACTTCTGTATAGTATTTACTTACTATTTGATTTTTTGAATAAAAGATTAAAAGAAATGCAATACTAATTTATGCAAGTTTACGTATTTATCTTAAAATTATATTTAATAATAGTAAATTAAATTTTATTAAATAAAACTGATACTATTAATATATTATATTTATTAATTTTATTTAAATTTTGTTAGCTACTTATAAATATATTATGATTTAATGATTTTTAATTTTGCATTGCATTACTTTTGATTATTACTGTACTTTACATATTGAGAGATTTTATGGATGAGCTAGAAAGAGAAAACCATTTATTTCTGAACAAAATTGTAAAAAAAAACTAGAATGATATTGTAAAAGAAGAAATTGAAATGATAAGTGAAATTCTATTATTTGAAGTGATAAATCTCACTTTATGTTATTTCAAAATGATACATATCTTGGGTTTGGCATAGATCACATGAAAAATATGATATGAGTTGCTTAACTCCAACTGTAAAATCTGGAATTCAAGAGATTATGATATGGAAATATTTTATGAAAGATAAAATTAGTTCTTTAATTTAAGTTTCAGGTAGAATAACAGAAATTTGTTAAAGATTTATTTTAAAAATAAATAATAATAGTATTTATAGTATGACTAGCTAAAATATCATTCAATTCCAAATTATTTTAATAAAGATATAATTAATAATTTATTAATAATAAATCTTTACAAGATCTATACTACAAGAAATATTTCTTAAAATTCTCTTAATTAAATTCTACTAAAATTATAAAACTATTGAATTATCAAACTATTAAACTATTTTTTTATTAGTTAAGATATATTAAACTATCTTTTTTACTAGTTAAGATATATTATTTTTATATATAATATTTTAGAAATTTTACAAATAATATTTATATTATTATACTTATACTTATTTTAGTTAATATTATAATATTAATTTTATTAAATAGTATTACTAGTTTTGCTATACTAATTTTGTTATAATAATTTTACTATAATAGTTTTATTGACTTTATTATAATAAATTTATCACAATTATTATATTTATAAAATTTTTATAAATATTTGTAAATTATATTTTTTTAAGCTAATATTTAATAAGATATAAGTAATTAATTATCTAATTATATTATAATATGAAATAATTAATAATAATTAATAACTAACTAAAAGTTCATATTATATAATATATTATAATTTTATTAAATAATAAATAATAGTATAGTAAAATTTATTTATTATAAAAAATCATATTATTATTTTCAAATCTTTTTATTAATTATTATAAAAAAAAGTATAGTTAATTATATAATTAGAATAACTAAGGAATTATTTTGAAATCAGAAATAAGAATAATTATTATAAATCATATACTAAACATTTTTTATTATTATTATATTATTAATTATTAATGAAATTATTAACAAGAATTTTATTATATATATATAATTTTGATATAATTCTAAACAAAAAATAATCCTGCTACTTTCTTATTATTTTATTTACTATAATAAATTCTTTCCTTTATTTTTCTAATAAAATTCTTTTTTTTAGTAAATATGAGATTATATTATCTTTATACTAGTAAAATTTTTTTAATTTCTCTTCTTGCTATTTATTATAATATTAAATTTATATATTTATTATTTTGTGAACAAAAAATCTGCTCTTGATTATAATATAAACTTTTTTATACTAATATTTTTTCTATATCACAACTATATCATAACTCTATCTCTCTTTTCTATATTATTAATATCTAATATAAAATAAGTTTTCTTTATATCTGTAATATTATCTTCCTTTTTCATATTAATTTTTAATAATAAATATATTCTTCTCTTTATTATTACTTAATTAATTAAATTTCTAATGCTAGAATTTGATAATAAATAGTATTAAATATATAAATTAATTATAATAATTATTAAGACAGTTAAAAATATGCATTAAATAAATTAAATCTTGACTCAAATATTAAAGAATTAAAATAAAAAGAGATAATAAAAAGACAATTAATATCAAATATTAATCTTATAATATTAGACTTCTTGATAATATCAAGCTAGAAGCAAATATTAATAATGCAATTTCTTTTTTAAAAAACAAAAATATCATGTTAAATACTATGAAATTTCTTGATAATTCTTTAAAGATTTTATTTTTATACATTCTAAATAAATCAAAAAATCAGTATTTTAATTAACTAACTCTTATTAATTCTATTTATAATATTAATAAATATAATTGATATCTGTTTATATATATATTTGTGATAGTTATAAATGTTAAAATATAGAAATATATTTTTTTATAAATAATAAAATAATAATATAATGGCAAAAATATTAATCATAACTTGATAATTTGTATAAGTCTAAAAAATCATGATATTTTCTTACTGATTAAAGCAATATTAAAGCAAATAGTATCATAATCATATTTTCAAGTTCTCAAGATAATGTACAAGAATATAATATTTTTTTTTATATTATGCATGTTATAAAAACTTGAATAAATAAAATCTATAATATAAAAATCTGTGACAAAATAATTTAAGTAATATATAAAATATTAAAGATTAGTTATAATAATATTATTCAAGAAGTAATTTATTAGTATCTAATTATTTTCATATAATAATATATTATAAAATATTATATGTGAAATATATATTAGTAGACTCTAGATTTAATAGTATTTTCTATTTTTTTGTAAGTAATTTTAATAAATATTTTGGAGTTATATTATAATAAATTAAAATTGATATCATAATTTAATTAGTATAATTAAAATTTCTAATACTTTATTTATTATTTA